AGAAAACTTTAATACTGACTTTTCAGCTACAAATTTCATAATTTGGTACATTTTAAATTTATAAACCCAAGATACACATTTGCCAATTGAATAATTTGGAAAACATTTGACTTTGTGTTTATGTTATTCTTAAAAATGACGATAAATTTAATAGGATAATTAAAACTATTTTTCAATTAAAAATGGTAAGTATTCATGGAAGAATACTGAAAAATGCGTATGCGCAGAAAGAAAAGCTGTCAAATACTCAGGCTCCTAATGACTACCTCTGTTGGGTGCTTTTATGAATTTAGTTTTGTCATTTTTCCTAAGCGTGGTCCATTTCTTCACATGGGCTTCAATAAAGTGTGTCCATGCGAACTATGTGTGAGTGTTCTGTTATCCCATTCAGAAAGCCTTTGCCATGTCATGTGAGAGTCACGAGACATTTAATAATGCATAGATATGTCAGTTCTCATTAACTACTTGCAATTTAATAATTTCTTCTTGTTTCTAGTTTTTGTAAATCATATAAATAAAAATAGACTAAAATTTTAGTAGATTTAATTGTTTTACTTCCAAATTCATGTATTAAATCTCTAGGATAGTGACATGAGGAAGGAAGTAGTTATGGTTAAAAGAAGCCATACATCCTGGCCCAAAAAGATTTGTGTCCTTAGTGACCCCAAAGAAGGAGTGTGCTCTCTCTCTCTCTCTCCTACCCTGTCATCTGAGGACAGAGCTGGAAGGTGGTAGTATGCAATCAGGGCAGAGAGATGTCTGGTATTTAACTACATCTGCTTATATTAACTAGGATGACATCCTGGGGTATGAGGGTCCCTCCAGCATCTCCCCTTCCCCTCATTGCCTTCACTTAAAAACACAAGTTCAGCAGGGTGATGGTGACACATGCCTTTAATTCCAGCACTTGGGAGGCAGAGGCAAGTGGATCTCTGTGAGTTCGAGGCCCTCCTAGTTTATAAGCGCTAGTTTCAGGACAGGATCCAAAGCTACAGAGAAACCCTGTCCAAAAAAAAAAAAAAATCCAAACAAACAAACAAAGAAACAAAGCAACAGAACCAGACGAAGCTCATCGATGACTGGCACGGACTGCAGAGAATGACAGCTAGCCATCAGAACATGGGCTCCTGGGACCACACAGGCCACTTGCTTAGGGAGTCAACCAGAATACAGGCAACTCCTGTATTCTGATTATGGGGTTTTCAGGCCCCTTTTGTCCCTGTTGATGAGAGTTCTTGACATATGACAGATATTTAGTAAATGCCTCATATTTTTAAACATCTGATGATTCTGCATTATGGATAGCTAACGTTCTCTGAAGAGGAGCATGGTCTTGCTATTATAGTTTTCATTTGTGTGTGTGTGTGTGTGTGTGTGTTTGTGTGTGTGTCAGTGTGGTTGTGCAGAGGCAAGAAGACACAATCTTGAAGATCCATTTTTACCTTCTACCTTATCCAGACAGTCTCTCTCCTTAGCTGCTGTAGATAGCAGGCTTCCTGTCCTAAGAGCTTTCAGGCCTTCTCCCTTCTCTGCCTCCCACGTTGAAAGGAAAACTGTTATTACTGACATGCATTAATATGTTAGTATCCTGGCATCCCTTGGGAACCTGGCACATTCACCCCTCTGCTTATGGCAAGCAGGTCTCGGTTTGGGCCCATCCTGCTAGGGGACACCGCAAAGGTCCCTCTGGTGCCACATCGTAGCACTACCCACATCTGGCTTTGCATGTGTTCTGGGAAGCCACACTCAGGAACTCGTACTCAGAAATGTGGAAAGGTTTTATTTACCAAGCCACTCCTTAGCTTCTTATTTTAAATGTATATCTTCGTGTAAAATAATGACATATGTAGGTCTGGCTGCCTAGAAGCATGAATTTGAACTTTTGACCCTCTAGCCTCCACCCCCAGACTGTCAGAATTTCAGGTGTTCCTGGCAACCGTGGGGAACGAACTCAGTGCTGCACGCCTGCTAACCAAGCACTTTGCTAACTGAGCTATATTCCTAGCTCTCTAATTAGTTTAAAGTTCAATATTTTATTGGAAAATAACCAGAGAATCATAGACCTGTAAAAGTTGGAAGGAAACACAGTTTAGTAGCATACTATTTTTGTATTTTTTTTTAAGACAGTGGGATTAACACTTTGAAAAAAGTAGAGTAGGTATTATGGGGGCCCAGAGTATGCAGCGGCTCCAGAGCCAATCCCCTGCTTTCCCTCTTTTTAAAACATTATTTGAAAACCCATGGTCTCACTCAGTTTTTGCATTTTAAAATTACTTTACTTTTAAATTGAGTTATTTAAGTAAATAGCACCAGGCTGTACTAAAGAATCAAAAAAAAAAAAAAAAAACCTGACAGATTTCCAAGTCAAAAGTAACAAAACAGAAAAAAAATATCTTAGATAAAAAAACATAAAGTTAAGAAACATACTGTGTTTAACCTGAAAGAGTCATTTGTCAAGATGTTAGAAGACTCTACGAAATAGCAATTTAGGAGTCAGCGTGGCTTTCAGCTCCCAGAGGTCTATTAGGTCCTTCTCTGTGTGACTCTTAACAATGGAGCTAAAACACAAAAGGATGAAAGAGAAGGAGAGCTTGAGATGCTGAGATTCTGCCAGGTGGACTGGAACCTGTATCTTCATCTGGTTGTCAAGGCCACACGCCAGCTTCCTTTCCTTCCTCTACGATGTTTCACTCAGATTACAGTGCTGACATTACCACCCTCACTTACCTTTTCAAATGAAACGAGTATTCGTGCACTCAGAAGTGTGCAGATGGACTCTATATTTATTAATGCCAAGGGCTTAGGCAGAATCGCATTTGCTGTTTTTATGTGCGTTGCTGTTTTACATATTGTGTTCTTTAGTAACTTTCTTCACTCTACAATGTGCAGCATCATTTTCTCGGTGATAGCTGTCTTGGCCACATCAGAAGATAAAAGGAAAACAAGAAATAATAATTACCTTTCAGCCAGACATGGCTTACTCAGGGAATCAAAGTCTTAAATCACTACAAGGTCACATGCATTCCAACAATGGTGCCATATATTCACAGTGTAAAAGGTAACCTCACTTTTGTTTTAGAGGCCATCGTCTCAACCACTTGGCCGCCTTGTCCTATCCTAATTTTATTTTAATAACCCAGCTTGCAGCACTGTAGTGTTTATTAACTGTAGATTTTAAAAAGCTCTTGCTGTATACTCTTGAATTCTATTTAAGTTAAGCTTCTACTTTCTGCAATATTGCCCACTTTAGAATTAGTAGGAAAAATGATTTGGCTGATAAAATGTTATCAGACTCACGTTGAATGAGAAAACTTTTCAGTGAATTTTCACATTAAGTATATCTCGGCTTTGTTTGGATCATTAACAGGAAGTCAGTAACTGACAAGTTACTAAAGAATCAAACGACAAAACCTTAGATTAAAACTCCTATCATGAGAAAAAGAATGTAACAGTGTGCTGTCCTTTTATAAGAAAATATACTTTTCCTTGCTCTGAAGCCCCACACTTTTCTTTTTCTTAGAATGGACGGGCAACTTTGCAAGGTTCCCCTTTCAGTATCGTTATTTACAACACTCCGTTTCCATAGATATGCAGAGACTGTTTCCATAGCAACATTCTGGGTTTCCTAAACAAATAGTATCAGAGCGTTAATCTCGTTTCAGTATTATTGAACTATGTTATTAGATACAAAATTTCAAAAAAAAATAATTTAAGCAGGGCTTGAAACTAGGTGGGTTCGTTTTTATCGCTTGGTGCTTTCAATATTAAATTTCAATCTTATATTAAAATATATACATCCATTTGAAAAATAGCAGGGATTTTTGCATAGTAAACATGATACCAATTTTATTCACCGGTTATAAAACACTGTAATTTAATAAGAGGGTACTCTAATACATGCGCCGAATTCGGGGAGAGGATTGCTATCTTCAGATGAAATGACTGCTTCTCAGTGCACTTGGAGGGTTTAGCCTCCCCAGATCTCCAAAGTCATTTGTAACAACCCACCGCAATAGCTCCCTTTGCTCTTTTTGCATTTTAAGTAATTTCTGCCATTTTTTTCCTTTTATTTTTTCCACTGCTGAGGCACAGCTGTGAAATAGACTTCAAGAAAATCTTTATAAATTCCTTGTTTGCCAGCTTGCAACAAAAGAGAAAAGCGATTCTAGAAGGTTTGGGAAGGATTTTTCTCTATAAGGTTGCTTATCATTACCACTAATTTCTTTTCTGGGGAGAAAAATCTCTTGGATGCTTTTATAAATGAACTAGAACCTTACCCTGAGCTCTCAAGACCTGTCTGGTATAATAGCTTTGTTTAATTGAATTGATAGTATTTGACTTCTAAGGGTGAGGGTTAGCTCAGCCAGGGAAAGAAGATTGGCAACACCTAAGTGAGAGGAAATGTTGATAGTGCTTTTTCTTCGAGGAGGAAGGGGTGTGTTGCTTTTTTCCTGCAAGATGTTCAGACAAAGACCTCTCCGTGGAGTGAAACTTGTTCTTTATATTCTGCTTTCTGACCAGTTTAACTCGTGGTTTCAGAAGCTACTTTTTACTTCCCTTTTGGATGGGTCTTCCTTTAAGAATGTATTTGAACCGGGCCTTCCCTTACTACACTTAGCACTGAAAGGGACGGGGATGTGCACTTACTATACTAATTTGCATGCAAACAAAAATCTGCTTAAGGGAGAGGATCCGATAACTGATTTAAGTTGACATTCAAATTCACGACCACCTTTGTGCAAGAGTCTGAGCTTGGGGCAGGCAGGTAAGGCTGTGGCTCTCAGCTCTGTAATTTATCAGATGCTCCTGATATGTGTTAAAAATTTCCCCGAGTTTCACTTTCCTGTTCTATGAAATAAAAAAAAAAATACCAGCTACTTCCACATTATTTGGGAAATTAGTTGGATCCTTCGACAATAAAGGATAACAGTCCCAAGCCATAGCTTTCCGTTACACTGTTCACGTTTTTGCTTCTTTTCTCGTTTGTTCCGTGGGTACAGGTTGAGCCTGGTTCTTCTGTTGTCCTGCACAGAGCTGCGTCCACAGAAGTCTCACACCTGGCCAAGGCGCTTTGGCTCTCTGCCACACTGCCTAACATCAGCTGACACTTCGTAGCAGACAGTTTTAATTCTCTCAGCCCATAAGTGGTAAGCATTTGGAGTTCCCCCAAACTACACTTCTTATGTGGGTCCCCTAAATGCCTGGCCTTGGTAAAATATAGAAAGCCCCAATGAGAGAGAAGGTACCAAGTTTCCATCTTCACTGTATAAACTAAGCTGAATGACTCTCAACCTCTTTTCTGTGGAATAATTATTCAGGGACCTTACTGCAAAGCAGGTCTTGGCTCAGCAGCTGTGGGTGCTGACCAAGTTTCTGCATGGCTGGTGGTAAGACATGCCAAAGCTGCTGGTTCACCAAGCTTACCTTGATTAGGAAGGGTCAGTCCTAACACAAATCATTGATTTTCTCAAACCTGTCAAGACTAGTGAGAGGACAGTGCCTGTAACAATAGTCCCCAGGCCACTCTGTCCTGGGCATATTCCAGATCTCTGATAATATAAGACCAGAAGGATCCTGTCTTATTGAACTTGGCTTTCTGGTGAGATAAAGAAAAGGGGCTGGTTTGTATCACTAAGATCCCTTTGATGATTGGATGTGGCACAAAGGACAAATCATGGCAGACACAGAGCTGCATGCATGTGGTCAGTCACTGAATTTTGCTCAGTTATTCTGAGACCTCTGTGTCTTTGGAACAGTGTGATTCATTTGCATAAGAAAAATGTATAACAAAATTAAAATTGATTATCCAAGCAGGTTAATATTCAAATTAGCAAGACAATGTTTGATCTATGAATGAGTTGAGAGGCTGCCTGTATGATGTAATCCTCAAGTCTGACAATGTAATTAATACTTTAAAATTCTCCAAGAAAGTATGCTGTCATTTTCTTTTGTTATGTTGATGTATAAAAAGACACTGAAGTTCTCAACTTCCTTAGAACACTTTTGGCACTTTAATACTTGTTGTTATAGCAATATTTCTTACATGGAAATCTTTTATTGGCAAATGACTCTTGTCTGAGATCATAATTATAAAGAGAAATATATCTAAAAGCTCTAAAACAAATATTTAGGACTTTCTCGGGGATTTTGCCTGTGGGATTTTCTTGTTTATGATCTCATTGTCTAGAGAATTATATAATATTCCAAGAATGAAATGAGTTGTGGTTTCTAATAGCTTTATGGAAACTATTATTGTCATTTTTCTTCAAATGTTGAATATCTCTTCTCAACTAGACCTCATAATAAATCATGATGTCTTTATTCTTCTCTTGAATTATAAGGAAGTTGTAAGAAAGTCTGTTCATTTTGGAGAAGAAGCTAGCCAGTTTTCTAATCATGGCTTGGTTACCATGGAAGAGACTTTTAACTAACGTTAAAAACTCATATAAACACATATCAAGGATGTGGGTAAAAGTAATGCCACCCTCATATAGTAAGAAACAAAAAAACTAGCAAGCGTGAAATACACAGGCTACTACCCAGTTCATTTCTCATGCTCAGTAAGTAATGGGTATCTTACTCCTGGCAGTGGCGTGTGGTTGTTTAGGACAAGTCAGATTTCAAGGATGTGACCCACAGACAGACAGAATTTTCATAAATAATAGTTTTAGGTCCTTGCAGAACAATGTTCACGGTGCATTGGAATATGTGGTACAAATAGTGTGAATTATTCTATACTGAACTTCCAGTGCAAAATTATAATCCTCAACGTGCTCTGCTCAATGAATAGTATATAGAGGTTTGGGGCACCTCAATGAAGAGTAAAAATAGTTGCGTGTTGTAATAGGAGCAGCGGGCGATGTTCCTGGCACCCGGCCACCTGCACGGCTAGCTTTATCTGAAATAATTACACGGAAACTATATTCTTTTAAACACTGCCTGGCCCATTAGTTCCAGCCTCTTATTAGCTAGCTCTTACATATTGATCTAACCCATTTCTAATAATCTGTGTAGCCCACGAGGTGGCTTAACAGGGAAGATCTTAACCTGTGGCTGTGTTGGGTGGGAGAATCATGGCGACTGCCTGACTCGGCTTCTTTCTCCCAGCATTCTGTTCTGTTTACTTCACCTAGTTGATAGTTCAGTTGGTAAAATTGCTAGTCATGCAAGAATGAGGACCTGAGTTCAAACTGTAGAACCCATGTGGAAAGCTTGGTGTGGCAGCACATACTTACAATCTCACACTGGTGAGCTGAAGACAGGCAGCTTTCTGGGCTTCACTGGCCTATTAGCCTTGTGAAATAGGCCAATGAGAGACCCTGTCTCAAAAACAAAAGGTTGTTAGCCACTGAAGAATGATGCCTAATGTTTATCTCCACCCTTACAGGCATACATGTGCACATACAAGTACACATATAGGCACACACAAAGCTAATATTATCTCATAGTACAACTGATAGTGTTGAAGCCTTGGCATGAATGCTGTGTTTCACAGAACAATGAGAGAGAGAAACAGCAAAGTTGGTTTAAGGAAATTGAATTACTATTTCAAATCGCCTAAGACACACATTGTCTGGATTAGGTGGTTCTCCCTGGTACAGTGGGCTATTGGCCCACTGTAATAATGGTACAGAGAACACTTGAAGGAAGATGCAAAAGGAGATTTCCCAGTCTTCTGGATGATTTCCAGAGTTTATTCATGCAGCATGGCATTCATAGTATCTTCCCTGTGTAAAGATAAATTGTAGTAACATGATACCATATCATGTGTAGCAAAGATACACAACAACACCAGAACAACCTAACAGCCCTCCCAGAGTCTGGGAGGATGATTAAGAAGCTAACTAGAATGTCATACCCCTCAGCTGCAAACTCACACTCAATCCTTTTAAAATAGTTTGAGCTTCAGAAATTTCCTTAACTTCTCTGTGCCTTGCATTATTAGCTTATCATTTTTTCTTCCCTCCTCTCCCACCCCATCTGAAAGCAGAGAGAATGTAGATCTACTCAGTAAAAGCTAGAAAGAACTCCCAAGAGCTGGAGAGGCTCCACAGGAGGAATGTTTTAAGTTATCCTGGCACTGAAGATATTATAATGTCCATTTCCAAGAATCAAGTGATGGCTGAGGAGATGGTTCTTACAGCACAGCCATAAGGATCCGAGTTTAATCCTCTAGAAGCCATGTAAAAATGAAGATAGATCAGAGCAAGCCTGTGATCCTGCTGCTGGGGAGGCAGAAATAGGAAGATGCCCAGAAACCTCTAGCTAGCCATCCTAGTCAAGTTGGTGACTCCGTGTTCACCGAGAGACCATGTTCTAAAAAATTAAGCTGGAGAACAATCAAGAAAGACATCAACTCCTCTTCTCTGACAAAATCACATATATATGCACACACCTACACACATAGGATACTATAAGGGTAAGCATATACAAGGGCATGTCTTATGCATAATAGTTTATGCATAGTAAAAACAATGAACTTTAAAAAACATTATTCACTATAGTAAGCATTACAATCATTTCTATGTGTTTTAATTTTATGAGCTGATTCTTTTATTTTTTTAACCAAAATTGTACACTTAGTTGGTTTGATTTTATAATATTTGCAAATGATCAGCTAGTCTAAATTTTCAATTTCATACTAAGATTCCAGACTTTACAGAAGGCTTAGTAATCAAAGTCAGGTAGCATCTGTTTGATAAGATTTGTGAAGATCAAGAATTTGAAGACAATGACTGTAAGAACTGGTTAGGAAACAAGGTTTAAGCACACTGTTTAGCCATATAAACAGAACTGTGACAAAACCTGTTTTCCAGTTATCCTAGTAGAAGGCTTGATTGCCATAGCAAGACACCACAGGCTGGGTGTTTTAAACAAGAACAATTCATTTCTCACAGTTTTGGAGTCTGTAAATACAAGCTTAAAATTTCCTTTAGGTTTCTAATTAAAGTGTACTTCCTTAATTATTAATGACTGCATTTGTTTTTGTTTTTTTTTTTTTTTTGAGACAGGGTTTCTCTGTGTAATGACTAACCTGGAACTCGCTCTGTAGTCCAGGCTGGCCTCAAACTCACAGAGATCTGCCTGCCTCTGCTTTCCAAGTGCTGGGATTAAAGGCGTGTGCCTCCACCACCAGGCTTAAAGACTGCATTCTTAAAAGTGTCTTCAACATGGAGGAGAAAAAACAAGCTCTCTCTTGTCTCTTATTACAAGGACACTTATCATTAGATCTGGGCCCCACCCATGAGACCTCATTTAGCCTTTATTACAAAAATGTTTGTCTCTAAACACAGCTACATTGAGAATCAGGGCTCTGATAAATTAACTGAAGCATGACAAATATATTTATTTCACACTGTCAAACCTTAACATTTTCTTTCCTTCTTTTCATTCTTAAGAGGCATCTTTTGGCTCTAGAACGGTGTTGTTTCCATCTCTCTCCCCCTAAATCCTTTCCAGTCTCATACTCCGTCCTTCCATAGTTCTCCAGATAGCGTCTCTCCATCTCGGGTCATGCTTTACCTTAGGGAAGTGTCTGAAAACTTTACTTCTGCTTCCCCCCCCCTTTTTCCTGTTAATTTTAGCAGGAAACATTTAGATTTTGGTTTGGCTTTTTATGAGGACTTTCATGTTGCTTGCTATGCAACTACGGTTTGCTTTGTAGAACTTTGCTATGACTCATGGGGGTGAGGTTCTATGATCTCAGTTTTCCCTTCTGCTTTCTTTCTGGGTTTTAATGATTCCATCCATCCTCTTTCTCCTGCAGAGGGAACTACTGTTTGAGTCACAACATACAAGTTTAGAGTTAATATTTATCTAGCATACATGGCCTTGTTCTGCATGTCCTCCATGGCTGTATGATAGAGAGGGAAAAGTGAATCTTGGGAACACCAGTCACATATAGTTTATGTACAATGGGCGATGATAATCAGGAAACCAGCAAGGAGACAGAGGTTTGTGGACATGCATTAAGGTACAGCTATAAGTTATCAAAAGAACTGAACAATGATGCAGCTGCCATGAAAGACTTAACTGACATCATGAAGAGCTCAGAAACTGGATTGGTGCATCTGTGGCATTCCCAGACATGACAAAGGAACCACAGTTTAGCATCCTTGAATGAATCCAGGTGCCGAGGAAAATGGTTTGCTACAAATCAGGACATTTGGAGCCGGATCCTGCCCTAGAGAATGGTTGTCCCCCAGTGCATCCCCAGTGTGCCGCTCATCGAAGCAGGAAGTCAACAGGAAATTCACAGACCACAAGCAGGAACTAGTATCCCCTTCCAGTTTGCAGCATCTTTCTAGTATCCCCTGCTTAGGAAGATTTTACTGGATGCAGAGTCCTGCCTCCAGATTTGCAGAGCTGAAGGTAAAAGGCAGGATGCAGTTCTGAGGCAGGAGGTTGATAACCAGCACAGCAAAGACCATTCCTGTCTGAGGCCAACTTCTCAAACACATAAGATTATATGACTCAGTCATTGTTCACCTTTCAAAACATTGGCTAAATAACGATGATAAATTAGGCTAGTCGGATACAAAATAAAAACTAGAATGTCACTTTCGTGTTAACTGGAATCAATTAATAGTGTTTTGACTAAGGGATGCGACCGTGGCTCATGGCTCAGAAAGACTGAAAGGGAGACAGCACTATTGAAGTAAAATGTGGCTTTAGAAGATTTTTTTTTTGTTCATAGAACTGATTGTCTTACAAAAAGATCACGCTATTCCTTACAACAATTACTAAAACTTGGAGTGTGATTCTAATGTGTAGGCATACTAAATATAGAGAAGCGGAGATTATCATAATGTTGGGGAATTCCAAATACATCAAGTCCAGGAAAGAGCAACGTGGAAACCACCAGGGTAGTGGACTGAAGGTGAGGGTAGGATCTCACTGGAGAACTGGAAACAGTGTTTGGAGCTGGTGCCCTGGGAAGGAAGCAAAACTGACTGAACTTGGCAGAGGTGTTGAGGAGCTGCTGGGAGCAGAAACCATGGGTGCATACTGTTGCTTAAAGGGAACATAGGATTGAGGATCGAAATGGAAAAATGCTCACAAGGAAAACAAACAAATAAGCAAAAACAAGGAAACAACAACAAAGAAACCATTAGGTGAAGAAAGGGTTAGCAATAATGAGGATATGGAGAAGTCAATAGACTTCCCTGTTTCTGAGATAAAAATGTTTCTCCTGTGAAGGATGAAGACAGCAAAGTACAAGGGAAAAGGAATGACGTCACAAGGAAAGAGGGATTAGAATCAACCTGTGGCTTTTCAGGAGAAAGCAGGGGATGAAATCAATGGGCTATGTTTAGGGGGGGAAGTAAAAGTAGAACTCTCAAAGTTACAGTATTTTGTGAGTAAGTAAAGAAGACAAGAAAAAGGAAGCCAGCAGCATCTCTTTCATATGTCTACAAGATTGTCATGTTAATTTTCTTGAGACTCTTACACTTAGACAAATGGTATCAGATGGGCTGGACCATCTCATTTGTAAAATGACCCGCATTCAGGTCACGAGTGTGCCTGTGGTTCCAATGTGGGTGGAGGTGGGAAGTAGGTGGAAATCACAGGACCTCTGGGGCTTGCTGGCCAACCAGCCCAAATAAAGAAGTAAGCTCTGCATTTACTGGGTTTAGTGAGAGACCAAGACTCACAAGAGAACAAATGGGAGAAGCAGGTGACATGGACTCCAGGCCTTCTCCACAAATATCTGTGTGTACGCACACACACACACACACACGCATACACACACACACACACACAACAACGATGCTGATAGTTTTATACAGAAGACTGAATGCAAATTGTGTGTCTTTTAAAGGAAAGATTTCTTCCACGTAGTTCTGCTCCCTTTGAAGTTAATATGCCCAGTCAGATTATCTCCAATGAAATAATATCTGAGCCTACTGTTTCTGAATCATTCTGGTCATTTAGTTCTCTAAAGATCTATTTTTTTTTCCTCTCACACCTAGGGACATTGAAGTGACCTTGACTCCTGTGCTTCTTCTTGTCTTGTTTTTATTTTGAAGTAGGATGGCACTATGTAGCCTTAGCTGATCTGGAACTCAGGAAGAACAACCTGCCTCTGCCTCCTGAGTGCTGGGATTAAAGGGTACACACCACACCTTTGTTTGCTTGTTAGTCATTTTATTGTTATAGGACTCTTTAGAGAAATGACCCAGCTCTGCAGGAGGCCCTGATGGGCTCATCTTTAGAAGATCTTTGAACTAGCCCAAGCAGACTGATCCTTGCAGGCAGATTAGGTTCTTTTCTGCAATTAGAATAGTTCAAAGAAACTTCTACTCTAAGTTGCTGCCCATCTTCCTTATCTGTCTGGTACCTACTCAGAAGAAAAACACCACATGCACGAAATAGTCTGGACTCTACTCATCCTTCTTCTTTCTTCTTTTGTTTGAAGCTACCCAACAATCAGATTCCCTTGGAGAGATAGGAGAAGCTGAACCAGGCCACCTTATCTATATGACGGCAACTTTATCTATATGATGACATTTCGACAAATGGTGTCCATGCTACCCTCAGGTAAGCATGCATTCAACAGGTGGATTGCTGTTTTATTTGCTTGTTTGTTTGTTTTTGATTCATCACCATGACATCAGCATCAACTCCTGATGTGATTATCCCTACTGCAGCCCAGTATCCTTCTCTGTCATTACAGTTTTCCTTTTGTATTAGAGGATGTCTGGGCAGAGCTCTACCTGAACTAATGATGACTTTTGTCTCTCTGCCTCTAAATTAATGGGGGTCATGCCCAAATCATCCAAAAATTGCCCATGCCTCCAAACTGTCTTATCTCCATGCTTCCATTTTCTCTTAGTTTCTAGGAGTTTCTTTCCTTCATCACAAACACTTGCTGAGTGTTTTCCCTTCAAATTTATCTCCATGTAAGTCAGAACTCGTGTTTTTCTTAAATTACACTGGTCCTCTTTGTTCAGACATCCTAAAGAAGTCATGAGATTCTCTCCTTATATTGATTAGGACAAAGTTGCCTTGAGCTGTCTGCTCTGAGGGAGACAGAAAGGTCACGTTTGTAATTGCTTTGAAAGTGGAGAAACTTCCAGAAACTTAGAAAAAGGATTTTTGACCTTAGGGTCTGAACAGTTAATGGAGTTGTTTGTGGATGAGGTAATGTTTTGTTAACTCGGAGTCTGGACCTGTTATCCCTGGGTAACTCGCTGAGGCAGTCTTTAACTGAAGGTGTGTGTTAGCACTGAGAGCAATTCTGATTATAAAAACATTGATCTGATGAGAGGGAGGCATTTCTAACTTTTCCAGTGAATTCCTAGACCGAGTGAGTCAGTTACATAAACCCAGGTGTCTCAGAGGACTTTTCCCTCTGCCTCTCCACCTCTTTCTGGGTTGTTCCTCTTACTGATTATACACACAGGAAAGCGATGAATTTTTAATGCTCTTTCTCTTAAAATTTCTGCTTTCAGATCAGCCAGGGGCCGCAGGGGTAGAGATAAATAGGTGACTTATTACTGACGTCACAGGGAGCTCTGTGCAGGCCTTAGATGAACTAGGACAGAATTTGAACACTAAGATATGGAGTACTGTGATTAAAAATGTAAATACCCTTCGCTCGCTTTGAATGACAGATTCTGGCAACAGGTGAGGAATGAGAATGCATGCTGAGGGTTTCTTTTTGAGACACATAATTTGGGTTGAAAGTGACTCATGCGGACTGGCTGGTGTGTGTAATGACCCTCATGGGGGTGGAGGACACATCCCCACTTTGCTTATCAGTAAAGGCCAGGCCTCATTCCAAGATGCCTCACCTCACTGAGGAGTGTACTGCTCCTCAACCCTAACTGGTTAAACCAGACAAACCGTGAAATACCTGGGATTACTTGGTGGGAAGCCATTATTACCAGATCATTATCACAGCCCCAAAGGGCTTTGCTGAATGCAGCCTCACATTCATGGCTTTGTTTTCCACCCTCTCCAACCACTTCAAGGCCTTTGGAGCAGAAGGGGAAGTTCCAATGAAGCCTCAGACAGTCTTCTCTCTAGGAGAATGTCCTGGTCATGTTGAGGCCCAGATGCTAGTGTCAGGTTGGGACTGATGAAGCTTCAAAGCTTAAGGTTTTCCAGGCATGAGCTAATCTCCCCACATTCTTCTTGGCATCTGCATATCACTTCCATTCTGACTTTTGATGACGTCAGTTCCTTTACCCACCAACTCTGCAGTCTGCACAATGGTACCCTACAGTACTGAACACAGACATAAACAGTCTTGTTACTCAAACCAAGCTTGAGTCATAAAGGACTAGATAAGAAGGTTTGTAATGCAGGCAGAAGGGAAAGCTGACTGTGGGCAAGATCGTGGATGACCACGGGTGGACAGTAAGGCCCTAAGTTTATCATGTGTCTGCCATTTATAGTGGCCTCTTCATAAACACATGTGACTAAATTAAGTGAATCAATTTGAACATCTGGTTATTCTGGGTACTTAACTAGTGGCATAGTTAGCCTGACATAAGTCCAATAGTAGTATTAAGGTATGTTTGAGGCAGTAAAACAGTAGTTGCTGAATTTTTAGAGGGTATGTAGAAAAATGTGGGTATAGAAAACGTCATCTCTGTGTCATCTTTCCCACTCATGTTTGTGTCTTTACACCATTTTTACAATTGCAAATATCTACTTGCCATCTGAAAGAATGCTTTTTGCTGTAAGCCTCCCCATTTCTCTTTTACTTCTGTACCCACAGCTCATCTTGCTGAAAATGCATAACAGAAGCAAATGACTGTACTTTCAGTGGTTTAGATGAAAAGAGTTGGTTCGAATGTTTCAAACCTGCAATATGTAATTACAATAGAGAAAAATGCCAAAAACAATCTATGTATTATTAACACTGCTAGCGCTGCTTCTTTTCTCCTGCACATAAGCCAGCCCCGTGTACAAGTACAACACAGATTGACAGACTCTATTTTCATCACTTTATTTATTGTTATTTCTAAGATATTGGCAAATACAGTGAGGAATCTCCCTGGAATGTTTCAGTGTTAGAGTGTTTGCCCATCATGTGAAAGGAACTGGATTTGGGGTCCAATCTCTAGCATCACCTCCAAAAAAAAAAATAGGTAAATAAGAGATAGAGGAAAAAATAGGAAAAAGATTAAAATTGTCATTCTCTGAGTAAACCAGTATTTTCTTTCCATAATCAAACATAATCTTTCTGTCAGTAGGATTTAATTTTGTTTTATAGTGCTGTTTATTTTTGAGCACACTGTTCCCTTTGTTATCGGAAACATCGTGAATACATTGTCGTAAAAATAGCAGAACTCAGCTGCACATTTATTTCTTTGGGAGAGGCTGGGGTCACAGTGGCTCAGCTGATCTTCGATGAATATGACCGTCAACATGTATTTCTCTATACTCATCTATTGTCCAAACTCCCTTAACATTGTGGACTCTGGTGAGAGTGACAGGTATCAGTTTCATATTGATGCATTAATGACTTGAGAAATGTTTAGCAAGTTGTTGGGGGGAAGGTGGGCCAAAGGTCATTTTCGTAGAAAGAAAGATGATATCAGAGGTCATTTCCCATAAATGATCAGGGCTCAACTTCAGCTTTCTGTTTTCTTATGACTTCTGTCTCTGATAGCCTCAGAAACACCCACATTCCACACAACTGACTCCATTTTAGCGAACATGGCACCAACTCAGCTCCAACTCGTGCATGCTCAGCTCATGGCTTCTTTCTCATTTTAGGAGAATCCATGCCCACAAACAAATCTGAATCCACACTTATCTTACAAACTCCACTATTGGTACCAGATTTATTTCAGTGTGAATATGAGTTCATGTCCAAAACTGATCTTAGTTCTACTGTTGTTGGTATGTCCGTCTATCCTTCCTCCTTCCATCTCTTCTCTGTCTCTGTCTCGGCCTCTCTCTCTCTCTCTCTCTCTCTCTCTCTCTCTCTCTCTCTCTCCCTCTTTCTTCTTTGATTCAGGATCTTATAGAGCCTAGGCTATCCTTGAACTCCCTTTGTAGTTGAGGATAACTGTGAACTTCTGCTTCTCCTTTCTCTACCCATTATGGGTTGGCTTTACAAGAACACATTACCACCCCCCCCCATGTTTGTGCCTGCTGGTGCTTGCTGGAGAGCAGACGTAGAGTTTTCTGCATTCTAGGCAAATAGTCTACCAACCCCCTTAATTCCCAAAATAAAGAATTTGTATTCACATCTAGAGTCTATCTCATCATTCAAATATCAGGAATTAAGTAAGATTGATTCCAAAGTTGCCCTATGCGAAAGTAGACAGAATAAACCTTCACAGTACCTCCTCATCCTCCCACAGCCTCCAGTACTCCCTGCGGTCTCCCTCACAAGGGTGATGCACCTTCTGACTGCTCTAAGGTTACTTACCTGCATGCTCTTTAGACTCCTTTTACTTTCAGCATTCAAATCTCAGGGCATCATCTACTTGGTCTGTTTCAGCATTTAAGTTTTCAGCCTCTCCTAGAACTAGTTCTCACTTGGAGAATTTCTGTAGAGACAGTCTAATTAAATTGAATGACTTCCCTTTAACTGGTGTCACAATTAAATATGATTCTTTTCAGTGTGTTACTTAGAGTGATCTGGTGCTATTGGCCTCACCTTTGACACCTAACAGATGACCTTGAATGTAAAAGTCAGTCCAGTTATAGTACATGGAGAACACTTGCCTGAGGCCGCATATTTTACAAAGTGTTTTGATGTATGGGTTTCTTTAGTTCTTAAGACAGTTACAAAGGGAGCTTTTATTATCTTTAGGTTATGAATGGAGAACTCAAGTTCAAGAAAGTTAGTAAGTTGCCCTGTGTCATACAGTTAGGGAGAGAGCTTGAGTCAGAATCAGATCATCTGGATCATTCCAAAATAAGAGCTCGTGTCCTCATTATGTCTGCTTGTAACAGTTTAAAACCCCATTGTTTTATTGTGAAGGCAAATAATCAGAGAGATCGATTGCCTGCCTACTAGACTGAGCTTTACATACTATGAACATTCACTAGCAAAGCAAAGAGAAATAAATTACCATAATGTTTGTCGAGTTTGGAGGATGTTCAAAGGATTGCTTAAGTTTTCTCTTTTAATGAAAACTGCTTTAATACCAACCCTCGAGTGTGTGTGTGTGTGTGTGTGTGTGTGTGTGTGTGTAAATGTGCATGTGGAGGCCAGAGGTCAACCTCAGATGTCCTATCTCAGGAGATGTCTAACTTATTTTTTTTTTTCAGTAAACCCCAGGGATCCACCTAGCTTGCTTTTCCAGGGCTGGGATTGCAAGTGTAGTTTCTCACCATGACTTTGCTCATTGGTGGTGGGAATCACACTTGAGACTTCACGCTTGTGGACGAGTACTTTCTGAACCAAGTCAACTGCTTACCCCCTGTTCATCTCCACATGTGTGTAAAGCTTAGGGTTTTCAAGAGAAAGCAGCAATTGGTAGTTTGTCCTTAGTCTGGGACAGTCAGAGATCAAATGCTCTGCCAGGGTCCTGATGAGAAGCACCAGTCCAGCTTCTCCTGGATAGCTT